TAGTTCACCTACATCCAGAGAGCACTGTGAACCCAACCAATGATGGATCTGGACCACACTTGTCATGGATGATAGGATTTGTAATACCTTCACTCACTTCCAGAGACCACTGCGACCCTCACGAATGACAAACCGGGACCACAGATGGCACACAAACCCTCTATATGTCCTGGTGTGGTTTACATTTTTATTTATATAGATTCTCTTCTTCTTTTAAAATGAAGGAGGTCGGACTTTTGCGGCTCTTCCGAGCCGTATACCCGTCCCTGGGGGCCTCTTCGTGAGGCTGCCAGCCGGGTCGCTCTCACGCAGCTCTGCAGGACCTCTATGAGATTCGCCTCCAAGCCGACCGCACTACTGTTGGCTTGTGGAGTCCCTTAGGGTCTCCTTCCCATTGGTGAGGGGTCCGGGTCTTCTGGAGTGCATAAGCCCAATTCTTGAAGGCAACCTTAACTCTAAAGTTCAGGGTGGGTGGCAAGTAAATGACCTTGGAGGGCCACAACTGGTCCACAGGTCTCCCTGCCCTAGAGATTCCTAGAGACATTCTTTCAAATTTAAAAACATATATAGCAAAAAAGAGACAAAGTTGAAGTACTTTGGCCACATCATGAGGAGACAGGAAAGCCTAGAGAAGACAATTATGCTGGGGAAAGTGGAAGGCAAAAGGAAGAGGGGCCGACCAAGGGCAAGATGGATGGATGGCATCCTTGAAGTGACTGGACTGACCTTGAGGGAGCTGGGGGTGGTAACGGCCGACAGGGAGCTCTGGCGTAGGCTGGTCCATGAGGTCACGAAGAGTCGGAGACGACTGAACGAATGAACAACAACATAGCAAAAAAATTAGTTGAGGTTTTTTTGCTTTCATGGGCAACCAAAAACGGATGTAAACGAAGTTTGGCTAGAAACATTATAACTTATGCGGTATCTGCAGAGATATCTGGACTCTCCACTTCGCCATACTGAAGCCAATAGGAACTTTAGGAGGGTCGTCCCCGGGAGGAGGGATCCTGAGACCCCACCAAAGAGGGATTGCTACTTTGGCGAGGTAGAGAAGTCTGATTTCAGAAATTTTATTGAGCTTAAAATAATTCAAAATAATCCTCACCAAAGTTGAAGAAGAAGCACTGAAGTGTTTATTAGCGATTCTGCTGAAAAGGATGCAATGTAGCAATCATTCGCCTACAAAGCATGCCAGTACAAAGATCAGAGACATTCTTATAGGGTTTACAGGCTTAGAAGTTTCAAAATCCCTGCCCTCCACCCTCTGCCTGGCTCGCAGGTGATTGGCTGACGCAATAACAGCTGGGAGGAGGCTCGGCCACCCGCCCTGCGTCAGAGCCAATCACAGAGCCCCTCCGCTGTGCAGGAACCAATGGGAGAGCTCCTACCACCTCAGTGCTCTGGCAAATCAGGAGAGGGGAGGCGGTATGAAGTAGAAACAATGAATGTATGAATGGATTAAATGGATTTCATGCCTCGGGGATCCTGAGTCCACAAAAAGCAGCCTGCAAAGGATGCCCAGTCTATCGTCCTTAGATGGGTGGGCAATAAATAGTGATTACTTAGTCTGGGTTTTCCTGTTGCCATCAGATAAGACACAATGAGAAAGGCTGGGGTGGATGTTTGTCATGGCAGGTTTTGAAAGGAGAAACAGTTTCAGAGGGGAAAAAGACCCTCTTGAGGGCCTTCCGTCCCCCAGGGTGATGTGATCAAAGGTGCCAAGCGAAAGCTTTTCATTGAATGGGCCAACTCATTCAATGAGTTTGCCTCTCATTGAATGAGAGGCAAACTCTCATTCAGGGTTGCCTCTGAAGACTGCTCGGAAGCTTCAAATGGTCCAACAATCGGCAGCCAGGTTGCTAACAGGAGCGGCACTCAGGGAGCATACCACTCCTCTGTTGCGCCAGCTCCTCTGGCTGCCAATTTGCTACCGGGCACAATTCAAAGTGCTGGCTTTAGCCTTTAAAGCCCTAAACGGTTCTGGCCCGACCTACCTGTCCAAATGCATCTCCTCCTATGAACCAGTTAGGACATTAAGATCGTCCGGGTAGGCCCTACTCTCGATCCCGCCGGCCTCACAAGCACGCCTGGCGGGGACGAGAGACAGGGCCTTCTCAGTGGTGGCCCCTCGGCTGTGGAACGCCCTTCCTGCAGATATTAGATCGGCCCCTTCCTTGCTGGCATTCCGGAGGAAAGTAAAGACCTGGATGTTTGAACAGGCATTCGACTAAGCAGTGTGATTGAGTGACTGATTATTGGAACACGGAATAACGGACAACGGATTTTGGATTCTGATTTCACCGACTAGACCGGATGGATTTGTTATATCGATGTATTGATGTTTTGATGCCTATGTTAATGATGTTAATGACTTGTGATGCTTCTGTATTTTAAATGCATAATGATTTTGTATCCTGTATACCTAAACTGTTGTAAACCGCTCTGAGTCGCCCAAGGGCTGAGAAGAGCGGTATACAAATAAAGTAAATAAATAAATAAACTCCGAGGTTCAATTTGAAGCTTCCAATTATGTTTTTCCATGCACAAGTTATCATGATAAGAGTTCTTTGTGATAGCTAATCGTCCTTTTCAACAGCTGCCCGCTTCCTTGATGAGCTTCCTCCAAGAGGGAGGGGAAAGGGCGATGGGTTGGATGCCAGGGCAAGAATTAAGGAAAAATACACGGGGAATATAGGAATCCAAAGAAATTCATATCAAACATTCCTTTCCACCCCCTGCCCGCCAGAGAAATTGATTAAAACAATAACTTTAATAAAGCATGTGTCCATAGTTCATACTGGGGAAGTTCAGACGTGAAAATGAGTTCTTTAGAGCCAAAAGAATTGAAGAAAGTCCAACAGATCTCCTGGTCAGTCGCAAGGCCAAACAGGGTATAGGGTTACAGCCTGTGCTGGATGGGGTCGCACTCCCCTTGAAGGCGCAGGTTCGCAGCTTGGGTATGATCCTGGACTCATCGCTGAGCCTGGAGCCCTAGGTCTCGGCGGTGACCAGGGGAGCATTTGCACAGCTTAGGCTCGTGCGCCAGCTGCGCCCGTACCTTGGGAAGTCTGACTTGGCCACGGTAGTCCACTCTCTGTTACATCCTGTTTAGACTACTGCAATGCTCTCTACGTGGGGTTGCCCTTGAAGACGGCCCGGAAGCTTCAATTGGTCCAACGTGCGGCAGCCATGTTACTAACAGGAGCGGGATGCAGGGAGCACACAATGCCCTTGTTGTACCAGCTCCACTGGCTGCCGATTTGCTACCGGGCTCAATTCAAGGTGCTGGCGTTGGCCTATAAAGCCCTAAACGGTTCCAGCTCAAGATACCTATCTGACCGCATCTCGGCCTACAAGCCCACAAGAACTTTGAGATCGTCCGGGGAGGCCCTGCTCTCACAGGCATGCCTGGCGGGGACGAGAGACAGGGCCTTCTCGGTGGTGGCTCTTCGGCTGTGGAACACCCTTCCCGTGGACATCAGACTGGCTCCTTCCCTGATGATATTCCGCAGGAAATTAAAGACCTGGCTGTTCAAGAAGGTGTTCGAACAAGAAGTGCAATAATTGGTAATGACGACAGGAATGGAACAACGGAAAATGATACTGGATTGTGGTTCAAACGATGAGACGACGTGAATGGCTGTTTGTATTATTGATATTGTTGATGTTTTTGATAATGATGTTTTTGGTTATTGCTAGATTGATATTTTAGATTGTGTCTTGAATTCTGAACCTTGTTTTTCTATGTTGTACACCGCTGTGAGTCGCCCCCGGGCTGAGAACAGCGGTATATAAGCAAAGTAAATAAATAATAAATAAATAAATAACAGTCACAAAAGGAGCTGGGTGATTTCCACTGAGCCAAGAAATGGATTCCTGCAGCGCCAGGATCGAGACTTGTCCTTGGCCCTTGGAAAACTGTAACTCTTTCCAAGGGCTGGAGCCCAGGGACCAATCTGCTCCCTGAAAACCTCCTGGGGTCCTTGCTGTTGTTAGTGTCTTGGCAAATTGACCAAGACTTAACCCCTTTGTGCAGTCTGGTACCCTTGCCCTTTGCAGAACTATAAGTTACCATTAGGGCTGTCCAACCAAGGAAAAATTTGTTTCTAAACTCGATTCGTTTTTAGGGTTTTTGCGTTTCGTTATTTAAAAGAATTCCGAAATTTTCCTTTAAAAAAGTTCGATATTTACAAAATTTCAAATTACGAAACAATTTCGAAACAATAACGAATCGATTCGTTAATGGCGGACGCGATTGCACAATACACTAAAAAACCCTCCAAATGGGACAGGGGGAACTTCTGAAGCTTCCCTCTCCCTCTGTTGTTGACTGTTGGTGTGATAATTTTTTTTTATCACTGATAAAACAAACAACGACTATAAAACTTGCACCAGACATACGGAAATAATAACGAAATAATAACGAAACAATTACGAAACAATTTCGAAACAATTACGAAACGAATTGGAAAAATTCATTTTGTTTTTTAGTTGCTCCTGAATGGTTCAGTATCGCTTTGTTATCAAAAAAATAACGAATTAATAACGAATTACGAAATTAACGAACGAAACCGCCCAGCCCTAGTTACCATCCCTTATTTGGGGGGGGGGGGGATGGACGGACGACGGACATGCTCGACTTCAATACCAGTGTATGTCATGCTGATAAGAGTGTGTGCTGGGTGCAGATCTAAATAGAACGAAAGGAAAGAAGTGTCATAGGATAGTAGAATCTTATAGCTGGAAGAATCTGCAAAGGTCAGCTAGTCTAGCCCCCTGCTATGCATAAAACTGCGTGTTACAACTAGAGCATGACTACAGCCCTCCTGAGAGAGGGCCACCCAACCACTGTTTAAAGATTTCTAAAGACAGAAGTCCGCAACCCTGAAGCAAAGAAGCTGACAACAGGGTGAATTGGTTTCATTTCTCCTGCCCTTCCACACCCTTTTGGGGAATCAAAACCTACTGGGTCATTGGCAGTTGACGCACAGGAGAAGCAATGAGTGGACTCAATGGAACCACGGACTCTGTACATCCTTTCTGTTTAAAGCCCCACCTACCCAGCAGATTTCCAAAAGGAAATTGTGCACACGCATAGAGACGCACGCACATACTTGCGGACACTCTCTTCCAAGGAAGGTAAGATCCAATTTTCAGAAGGGAAAGCCTGAGGCAAGATGGGTGGGTGTTTCCAAGACTATGGATCAGTGATTCGCAACCTGTGGTCCGTATCCCTGGGGAGGGGACATGAGGGGGGTTTTAGAGGGGTCACCAGAGATCATCAGAAAACACATATTTCCGATGGTGTTAAGAACCCCGTTGGCAGAGAAGGCTGAAGATCTCGCCACCTGTCCTTCTCTTCCTTTATGGAAACAGACAGTGAATCCTCCTTCTGCTCTCTAGATGTAGGGGAACTACAACTCCCAAACTCAAGGTCAATGGCCACCAACCCCTTCCAGTATTTTCTGTTGCTCATGGGAGTTCTGTGTGCCAAGCTTTGCTCAATTCCATCTTTGGTGGAGTTCAGAATGCTCTTTGATTGTAGGTGAACTATAAATCCCAGCAACAACAATTTCCAAATGTCAAGGTCTATTTTTCCCAAACCACCAGTTTTCACATTTGGGCTTATTGAAGATTCGTGCCACATTTGGTCGAGATCCATTAATGTTTGAGTCCACAGTGCTCACTGGATGTAGGTGAACTACAACTCCAAAACTCAAGGTCAATGCCCACCAACCCCTTCCAGTATTTTCTGTTGGTCATGGGAGTTCTGTGTGCCCAACTTCATTTGATTCCATCATTGGTGGTATACAGAATGCTTTTTGATTGTAATTTAACTATAAATCCCAGCAACTACAATTCGCGAATGACAAAATCAATCCCACTCAACCTCACCAGTATTCATTATTTATTTATTTATTTATTTACTAGCCATCCCCTGCCACACGCTGCTGTGGCCCACATGGGGGTTCTGTGTGGGAGGTTTAGCCCAATTCTATCGTTGGTGGGATTCAGAATGCATGTTCCTCATGAATTTCTGCTCTGCACCGTCTGTATTCGGACCAGATGCAGAGCCATTTATTTATTTATTTATTTACGGCATTTATATGCCACCCTTCTCACCCCGAAGGGGACTCAGAGCGCCTTACAAGATATATTTTCACACAATATATTATATTATTAGCATAGTACAATATCAGTATTATATATTACTAGCCGCCCCTTGCCACGCGTTGCTGTGGCCCACATGGGGGTTCTGTGTGGGAGGTTTGGCCCAATTCTATCGTTGGTGGGATTCAGAATGCTCTGTGATTGTAGGTGAACTATAAATCCCAGCAACTACAACTCCTGAGTGTCAAGATTCTATTTTCCCCAAACTCTACCAGTGTTCACATTTGGACATATTGAGTATTCGTGTAGAGTTTGGTCCAGATCTATCATAGTTTGAGTCCACAGTGATCTCGGGATGTAGGTGAACTACAACTCCAAAACCAAAGGACACTGCCCACCAAACCCTTCCAATATTTTCTGTTGGTCATGGGAGAACTGTGTGCCAAGTTTGGTTCAATCCCATCGTTGGTGGGGTTCAGAATGCTCTTTGATTGTAGGTGAACTATAAATCCCAGCAACTACAACTCCCAAATGACAAAATCAATTTTTTTTAAAGAAGGGTTGTTAGGTGTCTTGTGTCCAAATTTGGTGCCAATTCGTCCAGTGGTTTTTGAGTTCTGTTAATCCCACAAACGAACATTACATTTTTATTTATATAGATTTAATGCCCCCGGTGGCGCAGTGGGTTAAAGCACTGAGCTGCTGAGCTTGTTGATCGAAAGGTCGCAGGTTCGAATCCGGGGAGCGGCGTGAGCTTCCGCTGTCAGCCCTAGCTTCTGCCAACCTAGCAGTTCGAAAAAAAGGCAAATGTGAGTAGATCAATAGGTACCGCTCCGGCTGGAAGGTCACGGCGCTCCATGCAGTCATGCCGGCCACATGACCTTGGAGGTGTCTACGGACAACGCTGGCTCTTCGGCTTAGAAATGGAGATGAGCACCACACCCCAGAGTTAGACATGACTAGACTTAATGTCAGGGGACTACCTTTACCTTTACCTTAGATTTAATGCATTTCTACCCAGCCCTTCTCACCCCGAAGGGCGGCCTCACATAAGCACCAAACGATGCTATAAACATATAAAAACAGACAAAAATACATTTAAGACATTAAAAATCATTTAAAAAAAACATACAATTCATTAAACAGTAACTTAAACATGCCAGTTAAAACCAATGTTTTGTATTATTTTATCATAGTTCAATACATTTGTTATACATTGTTTATTTTACAGCAGATACATATTAATCTATACAATCTATCATACTTTAACTTTTGGCATCTACTATTATTTTTCTGCTTATACATATTATCTATCTCTCACCCCTGTGCTCCCCTCCCCCTCCCCCCCAAGCCCCAGCTTTTACGTATCATCTGTCCAAAATTTCAATTCTTCTTGTGGAGGTAACTTTCCTTCTTTCTTTTAAAATTCTTTTTCAATAATTTTTCTCCATACATAGAATCATAGAATCAAAGAGTTGGAAGAGACCTCATGGGCCACCCAGTCCAACCCCCTGCCAAGAAGCAGGAATATTGCATTCAAATCACCCCTGATAGATGGCCATACAGCCTCTGTTTAAAAGCTTCCAAAGTAGGAGACTCCACCACACTCCGGGGCAGAGAGTTCCACTGCTGAACGGCTCTCACAGTCAGGAAGTTCTTCCTCATGTTCAGATGGAATCTCCTCTCTTGTGGACATCATCAAAATCACTTTGTTTCCATATACCTCTTTTAACTTTTAATATACACATCAGCTTATCATTTATTGCCAATTTCCAAACTTCCTTATGTTGTTGTTGTTGTTCATTCGTTCAGTCGTCTCCGACTCTTCGTGACCTCATGGACCAGCCCACGCCAGAGCTCCCTGTTGGCCGTCACCACCCCCAGCTCCTTCAAGGTCAGTCCAGTCACTTCATCCATCTTGCCCTTGGTCGGCCCCTCTTCCTTTTACCTTCTACTTTCCTCAGCATAATTGTCTTCTCTAGGCTTTGCTGTCTCCTCATGATGTGGCCAAAGTACATCAACTTTGTCTCTAGTATCCTTCCCTCCAGTGAGCAGCCGGGCTTTATTTCCTGGAGGATGGACTGGTTGGATCTTCTCGCAGTCCAAGGCACTCTCAGAACTTTCCTCCAACACCACAGCTCAAAAGCATCATCTTCCTTCGCTCAGCCTTCCCTAAGGTCCAGCTCTCACATCCGTAGGTTACTACAGGGAATACCATGGCTTTGACTATGCGGATCTTTGTTGCCAGTGTGATGTCTCTACTCCTTACTATTTTATCGAGACTGGACATTGCTCTCCTCCCAAGAAGTGTCTTCTGATTTCCTGGTCACAGTCTGCATCTGCAGTAATCTTTGCACCTAAAAATACAAAGTCTGTCACGGCCTCCACATTTTCTCCCTCTATTTTCCAGTTGTCAATCATTCTTGTTGCCATAATCTTGGTTTTTTTGATGTTTAGCTGCAACCCAGCTTTTGCGCTTTCTTCTTTCACCTTGATTAGAAGGCTCCTCAGCTCCTCCTCGCTTTCGGCCATCAGAGTGGTATCATCTGCATATCTGAGGTTGTTAATGTTTCTTCCAGCAATTTTCACCCCAGCCTTGCATTCATCAAGCCCCGCACATCGCATGATGTGTTCTGCATACAAGTTGAATAGGTTGGGTGAGAGTATGCAGCCTTGCCGTACGCCTTTCCCAATCTTGAACTAGTCTGTTGTTCCATGGTCAGTTCTGACTGTTGCTACTTGGTCCTTGTACAGATTCCTCAGGAGAGAGACAAGGTGGCTTGGGATGCCCATCCCATTAAGAACTTGCCACAATTTATTATGATCCACAGTCAAAGGCTTTAGAATAGTCAATGAAGCAGAAGTAGATGTTTTTCTGAAACTCCCTGCCTTTCTCCATTATCCAGCGGATATTGGCAATCTGGTCTCTCGTTCCTCTGCCTTTTCTAAACCCAGCTTGAACATCTGGCAACTCTCGCTCCATGTATTGCTGGAATCTATACTTCCTTATACCACTCCTCTTATTTGTATATTTATTTCTCTTTCCCAATTCCTTGTTATAAACAGTCTTGCTATTGTTAAGAAGTTTGTTCTCGCACCTTTATCCAATTTTTTTTTCAGTTATTATTACATAATGATGATAAAGCTATACATTCTATTTTAATGTTCATTATATCCTCTATTTCTCTAAATCAGTGTTTCTCAACCTGGGGGTCGCAAGGGGGTGTTAGAGGGGTCGCCAAAGACCATCAGAAAACACAGTATTTTCTTTTAGTCATGGGGGTTCTGTGTGGGAATTTTGGTCCAATTTTATCATTGGTAGGGTTCAGAATGCTCTTTGATTGTAGGTGAACTATAAATCCCAGCAACTACAACTCCCAAATGTCAAGGTCTATTTTCCCCCAAACTCCACCAGTGTTCACATTTGGGTACATTGAGTATTCATGCCAAGTTTGGTCCAGATCCATCATTGTTTGAGTTCACAGTGCTCTCTGGATGTAGGTGAACTACAACTCCCAAACTCAAGGTCAATGCCCTCCAGGCCCTTCCAGTATTTTCTGTTGCTCATGGGAGTTCTGTGTGTCAGGTTTGGTCCAATTCCATCATTGGTCAAGTTCAGAATGCTCTTTGATTGTAGGTGAACTATAAATCCCAGCAACTACAACTCCCAAATGACAAAATCAATCCCCTTTCCCAACCCCATCATTATTCAAATGTGGGTGTATCGGGTATTTGTGCCAAAATTGTGCCAAAATCAAAGTAGATTTTATATGGCAGTGTACAAAGGGCCTCTGAGGAATCTGAAGGGCAATCGTAGCTAGGAGCAGATATTTCCTTGTCCCAGAAAGGCAGACATGACCTGGAGATGTGACAATATTAAAGAAACAGTTTCTGCTTTAGAATATTTCTTGTTGATAGCTAAACCATTGTCGTTCTCTTTCTTCTTATTTTACCAACAATTTGATTCGTTCCACTGTTTCACAACATCGCAGCCAAGATGGGTGAGTTTCTCATTTGAATCCTGTTTCCATCATAAAAATGCATTCGTTTCTATGTACTTTTCATTTCTGTTTTCTTCCATAATAATAATAATAATAATAATAATAATAATAATAATAATAATAATTTATTTATACTCCGCTACCATCTCCCCAAGGGACTCGGTGCAGCTGGAACAACCACGTTTTCAGGCTCCTCCTAAAGACTGCCAGAGTTGGGGCATGTCTGATGTGCCTGGGAAGTGAGTTCCAGAGTCAAGGGGCCACCACCGAGAAGGCCCTCTCCCTCGTCCCCACCAATCGCGCCTGCGAAGGAGGTGGGAGCGTGAGCAGGGCCTCTCCAGATCATAGAATCATAGAATCATAGAGTTGGAAGAGACCTCATGGGCCATCCAGTCCAACCCCCTGCCAAGAAGCAGGAATATTGCATTCAAATCACCCCTGACAGATGGCCATCCAGCCTCTGTTTAAAAGCTTCCAAAGAAGGAGCCTCCACCACACTCCGGGGCAGAGAGTTCCACTGCTGAACGGCTCTCACAGTCAGGAAGTTCTTCCTCATGTTCAGATGGAATCTCCTCTCTTGTAGTTTGAAGCCATTGTTCCGTGTCTTAGTCTCCAAGGAAGCAGAAAACAAGCTTGCTCCCTCCTCCCTGTGGCTTCCTCTCACATATTTATACATGGCTATCATATCTCCTCTCAGCCTTCTCTTCTGCAGGCTAAACATGCCCAGCTCCTTAAGCCGCTCCTCATAGGCCTTGTTCTCCAGACCCTTGATCATTTTAGTCACCCTCCTCTGGACACATTCCAGCTTGTCAATATCTCTCTTGAATTGTGGTGCCCAGAATTGGACACAATATTCCAGGTGTGGTCTAACCAAAGCAGAATAGAGGGGAGCATTACTTCCCTAGATCTAGACACTATGCTCCTATTGATGCAGGGCAAAATCCGATGATCGAAGAGATCATGTGGGTTCATATACAGAGATGCGGTCACGCAGGTAGCGGGTCCCAAACCGTTAGGGCTTTGTAGGTAAGAACCTGCACCTTGAATTGGGACTGGAAGATGAACGACAGCCAATGGAGTTCCTTAAACAGGAGGGTTGACCGCTCCCTGTAAGGAGCCCCAGTTAACAACCTGGCCGCTGCCCATTGGACCAATTGAAATTTCCAGGCCGTTTTCAAGGGCAGCCCCACGTAGAGTGTATTACAGTAGTCCAGTCCAAATAATCATCATCATGTTTATTTATACCCCGCCACCATCTCTCCCAACAGGGACTCGGGGCGGCTTACACAAGGCCAAGCCCAAACAACAGATTACAATAAAATAAGATACAAATTGCAATAAAATAAACAACATAACATTAAAGTATAAAACATATAAGCATATAAACAATATACACAAAACATAAAGAGAAAAAGGAAAAAAAAGCTGTAAACCAAACATAAGAACAGTGAGTGGGCCGCATGTACATAAAATTTATTATTTATTTACAGCTTTTATATTCCGCCCTTCTCACCCCGCAGGGGACTCAGGGCGGATTACAGTGTACACATATATGGCAAACATTCAATGCCAATTTTTGACATACAAACATATACAGACATAGACAGAGGCTATTTAACTTTTTCTGGCCACCAGGGGGCTGTCGCTTTCATCGTCCATCTGCGATGCTGATGAAGCACTTCCGCAATCCCCGCATGCTTCCCCGCTGGAATGCTTTGCTGGAGTCTTCTTAATGGCCTCATAAATCACTTAATTTAGCCTCCCCACACTTTAAGGTGGTACCTAATTTTCCTACTTGACAGATGCAGCTGTGTTTCGGGTTGCAAAGGTCGACAACAGGCTACACACAATTGGTTGGAAACCCACTTCAACCCGGGCTGGCTTCGAACTCATGACCTTTTTGGTCAGAATTATTTGCAAGGGAGAACACATAATACACATCTTGTCTAAACAGTTGTGGCACAACCAGTTGAAGGAAACACCAGACCCTGTTGAGACTTCAGCTCCCATCAGCCTTAGCCAAGATAACCAATGATAGGAGATGTTGGAGATGTAGTCAAACAACAGGTGAAACATAAACTGATTTAAACCATTGATTCTCAACCTTCAGTTCTCCAGATATTTTCAACTCCAAGAATCACCTTTCTCGACACAACCTTCAGTATGTTTCTCAACCTTCCATTCTCCAGATCTTTGTCGGAGATTCTGAGAGTTGAAATCTGGTCTGCCTAATATATTAATTTGCAACTCAGTAGAGCAATTTTCAGGAACATGTTCTAAATATGTTCATATGAATGCCGCATCAGGACATTAAGGGACCCTTCCAGAAAGACCCTATATCCTAGGATCTGATCCCAGATTTTCTGTTTATCCCAGATTATCTGGCAGTGCAGACTCCAGTTTAAAGCAGAAAACCTGGGATCATATCCTGGGATATAGGGTCCATCTGGAAGGGCCCTATTTATTTACTTATTGTGTCAGAAGCAGATTCTCCCCTACGAACCATCAAGGTTGTTAAGATCTTCTGGAGGGGCCCTACTCTCGGTCCCACCACCTTCGCAATTGCGTCTGGTGGGGACGAGAGACAGGGCTTTCTCGGTGGTGGCCCCTCGGCAGTGGAACTCTCTCCTGATAGAGATCAGATCTGCCCCCTCCCTCCTGACTTTCAGAAAGATGGTAAAATCTTGGCTCTGGAATTTAGCATTCTCAGATTGATAATCGAATCAATAACTGTTGACTACAAGGCGGATGGTGATGAATTTGTGATTTATCTTGAGAAATTGGGTTTATGTAATTCTTGATCTATATTTTAATGTGTTTTAATGTATTAATGTACTATGATGTTATTATGCTTTAGTTTATTTGTATATTGATTCGCTGTTGTTAGCCGGCCTGAGTCTCTCCTCGGAGGTCGAGAAGACCAGGTTATAAAAGCTCTAAATAAATAAATAAGTTGAGGATACAGTTAAAATGCATTTAAAAACACAAACAAAGTTTTAAAACGAACTTGGCATTAAACTAAATGCCCTTTGACCAGTAGCTGGCCACTCGGAGTGCCTCTGGTGTCGCTGTGAGAAGGTCCTCCATTGTACATGTGGCAGGGCTCAGGTTGCATTGTAGTAGGTGGTCTGTGGTTTGCTCTTCTCCACATTCGCATGTTGTGGCCTCCATTTGTGGCCCCATTTCTGCATCTCGTGGTGCCAGAGTGCAGTTTGTTCAATGCCTTCCAAATCACCCACTCTTCTGTGTGCCTAGAGGGGAGTCTCTCATTTCGTATTAGACACTGATTGAGATGTTGGGTTTTAGCCTGCCACTTTTGGACTCTTACTTGCTGAGGTGTTCCTGCAAGTATCTCCATAGATCTTAGGAAGCTGTTTCTTGATTTAAGGTAGGATGGGCCAAAGATGTCAATGCCTTGGTCCAGGCCTGTAGCCAGGATTTCGTTTCGGGGGGGGGGCTGAATTTTTTTGGGTGGGGGGTTCGGGGGGGCTGAGTTTTGGGGGGGCTGAGTCTGAGTGAAAGAGGGGCTAGCCTAGCAAACCTTTTGTATCATTACCCCAATACCCCCATGCATATGGGATATATTGAGTATGGTGATCAGATCATGATATGAATAAACATAACAGTTTAAATAATGCACCAGTAAGGCCTTTTCGTGAACCACCATGAGAATTTCAGGGGGGGGGCTGAAGCCCCTAGCCCCCCCCCCCCCCGGCTATATGCCTGCCTTGGTCCTTTCATTGCTGGCTGCTACTTCCTGACAGATGTCAGGTGGTGTGATACTAGCTAAAAAGTGTAATTTGTCCAGTGTTGTGGGGCATAGACATCCTGTGATAATATGGCATGTCTCATTAAGAGCCACATCCACTGTTTTAAAGAGGTGAGATGTATTCCACAATGAGCGTGCATATTCAGCGGTACAGTAGCAAAGCGCAAGAGCAGATGCCTTCACTGTGTCTGGTTGTGATTCCAAGGTTGTGCCGGTCAGCTTTCATATGATATTATTTCCAGCACCCACTTTTTTGCTTGATATTTTTATACGTCAGAGCACAGTCCAGAGAGACTCCAAGTATTTCGATGGGATTCCTTCCCAGGTAATCCTCAGAGCTCGAGATGCTTGTCTGTTCCTAAGGTGAAAGGCAGACATCTGTGTTTTAGATGGATTAAGAATCAGCTGGTTTTCCCTGTAATAGGCAATAAGAGCACCCAAAGGTTTGGGGAGCTTCTTTTCAACCATTTCAAAGCTCCCTGCTTGAGTGATGATGACACGATCATCAGCATAGATGCAACTCTCTGTCCCTTCTGGTAATGGCTGATCATTTGTGTAAGTGTTCAACATTGATGGAGAAAGCATGCTTCCCTGAGGCAGGCCGTTCTTTTGTTTTTGCCATCTGCTTCTCTGACCCTGGAATTCAACAAACAAGCTCCTGTTTTGTAGCAGATTTCCTATGAAGCGGGTGAGGTGATAGTTTTTCTCAGGAGAAGGCGATGATTTACAATGTAATTTAAGATCTACTGGGGAGGCCCTGCTCTCGGTCCCACCAGCGTCTCAAACGTGTCTGGTGGGGACAAGGGACAGGGCCTTCTCGGTTGTGACCCCCTGCTTGTGGAATTTGCTCCCCAGCGAGATTAGATCGGCCTCCTCCCTCCTTACTTTTAGGAAAAAACTAAAGATGTGGTTTTGGAGCCAGGCCTTTGGTTAGTGGGCACAGCAGAACTTTAGGCACTGAACTTGGACAATAGGATTGTTTGAAAATTGGAAATGGCTTTATGACCTGTGATTATGTGATCTGTTCTATGTGGTTATGTAATTTTAATTAATATCACTGCTTAATTGTCATGTAATGGATTTTATATTGCTGTTTTATATTGTTGTTTTGATACAGTTGGCATTGAATAGTTGCCTGTGTTAGCCGCCCTGAGTCCCCCCTCGGGGGTGAGAAGAGCGGGGTAGAAATGGTCTAAATAAATAAATGTCATAAGCTGCTGACAGGTCTATGAAGACAGCTCCTATAATCTGCTGCCTTTCATAACCATCTTCTATGTGCTGAGTTAGGAAGAGCCCGAAGAATTGATAAGAAGCAAAACATATATGCCGGCAGAAAAAAGATCATGTGGCCCTCCAGATGTTGCCTCCATTATCCTCCAGAATCGGGGACAGCGTATGGTGAGGGGAGGGATGGTTTCCGAGAGATCTCCGCTAACTTGCAGGGTGCCGCAGGGAGCTATCCTTTCTCCTCTATTATTTAGCATCTATATGCGACCGCTTGCCCGACTGGTGCAGAGCTTTGGGCTTGAGTGCCACCAGTACGCTGATGACACTCAGCTCATTCTGAGGATGGAGGGCCGGCCGGATTCTGTACCCGAAAATATCCATCAGTGCCTTGAGGCTGTTACTGGATGGTTGCGTGCCAGCAGGTTGAGGGTGAATCCAGCGAAGACGGAGATCTTTTGGCTCCGCCGTCCGGATGGGAGGGAGATCCAGCTGCCTAACCTGGATGGCGAGCCACTACGTCCGTCACCTTCTGTAAAAAGCCTTGGTGTCTTATTGGACCCTCTGCTCACAATGGAGGCCCAAGTCTCTGCTGTGAGCAGATCTGCGTTTTTCCATCTACGTCAGGCTAGGCGACTGGCTCCCTTCCTATCTAGGAACGACCTGGCTACAGTGATCCAGGCGACGGTCAACTCGAGGCTTGACTACTGTAACGCCCTCTACATTGGCCTTCCTTTGTCAGTGATCCGGAAACTGAAGCTGGTGCAAAATGCGGCGGCTCGTCTTCTCGCCGGGGTGCCGGCGAGATGTCGTATCACCCCAATTCTACAACAGCTGCACTGGCTTCCGATTGAGTACCGGACTACTTTCAAGGTGCTCGTACTAACCTTTAAGGCCTTATATGGTCTGGGGCCGGCGTACCTGAGGGCCTGCTTATCCCCCTATCAACTCCAGAGATTACTTTGGTCCGAAGACCAGAATTTGCTTGAAGTCCCCAACATCCGGACTTATCATCTGTCCTCTACTAGGCAGAGAGCCTTCTCAATTGTGGCCCCTTATTTATGGAATGCCTTGCCAGTTGAAACCTGAACCATCCAAGACTTGCTTTTCGGAAAGCCTGTAAAACCTTTCTTTTCCAACAAGCTTTCGATGGGTGAATAACTCAGGACTATGTCTGTTCTCGTTTTTATTGTATTTTAAAGTTGGTTGTATTGTTTTAATCTACTGCTGTAAACCGCTCCGAGCCAAATTGGGAGTGGCGGTATACAAGTCAAATAAATAAATAAAATAAACAAATTATTAGTTATACTGGCTAAGTTTGCTGGGATCTGCAATCCAACAACACCTGAAAACCAAAGCAGTTTCCACCCCAGACTTATATAACCACAAGGATGCTGTTATGGTTCCAGTCAGGCCCGTAGCAAGGGGGGGGGGGGGTTAGGGGTTCAACCCCCCCAAAATGTTTCAGATTTTTTTAAAAAACCTGGTTTACTCATGAATTTTAACTGGTTAACCAAATCCCCATGCTAAGTCTATGAGATGCAAAAAATCAAGAGTCCCTCCAGAACTGAAGGCACTATCTCAAGCAAATATTAGCAATTTATTCACACTGTCATTACTTGCAGCAATAGCCGATGTAGTTGTTCTGGTACAGCTGTACCAGGAGCTCCAACTTTATTTGCTTTGTATTAAATGTTTGCTTGCAGTCCTAGGTTTCAGGGACTCTGCAGATAGGTGGCTTCTTTGGTTGCAGTCATAGGGCAAGTCACCTGTCCATCATTGTTAAGTTTTGGTTCCGCCCCTTGCTCAGGGCAATTGGGAAGGGAAGGGAGCCATTTTTAGTTAGTCTCAGCAAGGTAAGCTTATGTATAGGATGTGTGCAAGCTTCCCCTGTACAAAAGCTTCAACCCTTAAGACCTTCCAGGGGAGAAAGGTCTTAAAAGTCTCCAAAGAATTTCCAGGAAAACAGCCCTAAAGACCAAAGAACTCCAGCTGGAGAACATCTACTGCCTTGCTGGTAGGTCCACTTGGCATTCGAGACGCAGTTTGACCCGGTAGCGGAGCCCACATCAGTAAGGGTTAGATTACAGTCAGCCTGGGAGAAGTTAAAAAGGGGATTTTCCTTTAAAGAAGAAGTTATTGAAGACAGTTGCCTGTCCTTCGTGGGCAAGATTAGGAATTCACCAGTTGCCTAAAAGCTTGGAATCATTTGCTTAACTTTACTGAAGACAAGAGAAGTTTCTGTTTGATTGTTCATTAATAAAAGACTTTGTTGTACTTCTCAAGCCATCTAAAGACTGTTTGTGGTGGAAACTTCTGAGAACTTCTCTTTAGGCCCCCTGGCTTCCCGCTGGGCAAAGGTTGCACATCCTGTTCTAAAGACAATTATTTACAGGCCCAGCGCGCGACAGAACAGTAGTGAAGCAACCAAGTTGGGGTGGGGGGGGGGATGTTGAATGCTCTCATTAAGGAGGCCAGACTTGGTGGAGGTGGTTGACAAGGGCGGAGCTGCAGGCTATTGAAGGCTGCTCTGCCCCCTGCTGTGCTCTTTGCTTCAGCGTGAGCTAGGAGGCAGGTTTCAACCCCCCGCGAAATTTTCAACCCCCCCCCCGAAAATTTTAACCCCTCCCGAAATTTTTTTCTGGCTACGGCCCTGGTTCCAGTACTTTGTTCCAAAATGCAATTCAGAAGGGACCCTTCCCAAAAGACCACCTTCACATATACTGGACCCCAACTGCTAGAATGCGGAGGGGGAGACGCTTGTGTAAATGTGAGTGTATCTTAAATGTTTTATTGACACAAGTATCTCTTTTTTTAGCCAAACTCTTAATTGGTGCAGCCCTCGGCTTGGGTAAGTTGCTTGTTTCCTTTACTTCTGAATTAAAGAAAGATGGGCCACATTCCTTTGTGCCAGCATGAGATGGGTGGGGCTGCCATCTTAGGAATCTGGCGACTTGGAAAGACTCGCACCACGGAGATTATTCATATGGTCTTTTCGTGCAGGCGGTGCTACCATTGGGGTCCCAGTGGCACTCGGGGCCCTGGGCTTCACTGCCGCGGGGATTGCGGCGGGATCGGTGGCTGCTGGAATGATGTCGAGCACGGCCATTGCCAGTGGTGGAGGAGTTGCTGCTGGTAGCCTTGTGGCCGTTGGGCAGTCCATTGGTACGTTTGGAATTTTTGGAGGGGTGATATGAACTTGCCATCAATACAGATGCACCTAGGGTCCCTTTTCCCATCTCACTCATGTCTTCCTTGGTCTTCTTTTCACCCAGGTGTTGTCGGACTGTCGGCGGCAGCCAAGGCAGCCGCCACAACGGGTGGAGCCCTGCTGGCTGCCATATTGTTTTAACAAAAAAATGCTAGACCTGTCCATCAAGAGAAAGATGCTACGCCATGAGACAGGACAACCAGCTTGAAGCAATGCTCGATTTTCCTCTTTGATAATCGCAACTGCACTTGACTCACTTGGGTCTCTTCTTCCTGTATTTTCCTGCTGCTGTGTATAAAATAATACTGAATTGATAAAGCTTTGGCAAGATCAACCAATATACTTGTGTGGTTTAATAACTAGCTGGTTTGGTATCACCAGACCTTCCATTGTTTGTAGTTGTTCATCTCCAGTAAGGAGACTATTTCAGGAATATTATCCCATTCCTGGTGGCGTAGTGGGTTTAACCCTTGTGCCGGCAAGTCTGAAGACTGACAGGTTGAAGGTTCGAATCCGGGGAGAGCTTGGATGAGCTCCCTCCGTCAGGTCCAGTTCCCCATACGGGGATATGAGAGAAACCTCCCACAAGGATGGTCAAACATCAAAACATCCAGGTGTCCAATATATTGTCGAAGGCTTTCATGGCCGGAATCACTGGGTTGTTGTAGATTTTTCCGGGCTATATGGCCATGTTCTAGAGGCATTTTCTCCTGACGTTTCGCCTGCATCTATGGCAAGCATCCTCAGAGGTAGTGAGGATGCTTACTACCTCTTACTTACTACCTCACTACCTCTGAGGATGCTTGCCATAGATGCGATCCCTCCAGGGGTCCCGACCCCCAGGTTGAGAACCACTGTTGTAGACGGTCAATTCTCTCACTCCAAAAGTGATTTGCAGTTTCTCAAGTTGCTCCTGACATGAAAAAAAAATCCCATTCCCACAATTTTCCCTTTGGTTTTATAGTGTCTTTTTAAAGAAATGTGCCCAAACATAAATGTTTTCTGACGTGACATACGTACCTCTCAAAGAAATGTATAACATCTGCATGTTTTTAAATGTAATACGCACAAAGGATGAAGCCACTTATTTAGCTTCCTCTAAAGATACATTCCTGAAAGTCCCAAAGCATAAGAGGGCTGTTGATGTGATCTGTCTCCTAGATAATAGTTGTGTTTACAAGCTTGGAGTTTACCAAATGATAAAAAGGTAAACTCCTAGGAATTCTGTGGAGAGTTTGGAGAACCATCATTGTTTCACCAGCCAGCATCTCACCTGGGGATTATGGGGGTTGCAAGTCAACATATTTGGAATGGGACTAGTAGTTTCCAACATTTGGACTTCCAGATGTTTTGGACTTCAGCTCCCACAATCTCTAATAACTGGTACGATGGCTGGGGTTTCTGGGAGCTGAAGTCCAAAACACCTGGAGAACCAAAGGTTGGGAACCAATGCTCTAGTCTAGACCGTGGAAGGTTAACTTTGGACTTTTCAGATGGTAAGGCAGTCCATTATAATGGTTCGTACTGTCTTTTAAAGGCCTGGGATGACACACACACACTATAGGATATTATGCTTCATGTTCCAAAATAACTTGGCCAGTGTTGTATCGAGGCACTTTGACTTGCGTGGAAGGAGAGTTAGTGCTCTGTTTTGGGTGGCAATATAATAATAATAATAATAATAATAATAATAATAATAATAATAATAATCTATATAAATAAAAAGCCTAGAGAAGACAATTATGCTGGGGAAAGTGGAAGGAAAAAGGAAGGGGGGCCGACCAAGGACAAGATGGATGGATGGCATCCTTGAAGTGACTGGACTGACCTTGAAGGAGCTGGGGGTGGTGACGGCCGACAGGGAGCTCTGGCGTGGGCTGGTCCATGAGGTCACGAAGAGTCGGAGACGACTGAACGAATGAACAACAACAACAACATATAAATAAAAATGTAATGTTTGGGTTGTTGTACGTTCCATTCCTTATCTATACTACCACTGGTTACAAGAAGGGTTAACAGATACCAATACCAGGGAATGGACAGTAGCATGGGTGAGGATGTAGAAAATTCACAATAAAACACTGTCAGTCCACTTATCCCTCTTTCTTAAAGTGCACAGAAAGTTATATCAACTATACAGGTAATAAAAAGTTGTTAAAGTGCAATAGGCGTAACACTTGTTGTTAAAGTGCAATGGGCATAACACAGATAATAAAAAGTTGTTAAAGTGTAATAGACATAACACTTATTAAAGTGCAATAGATATAACACTTGATTCTGACGTGTCTTCATAAAGTGCGTCATGGAGGGAGAAAAAGTGCTGAGGTAAGGCAGGTTAAAAGGACCACTTCAGTGCAAATGAGCTAAAGTGCTGACAGCTAAAGTGCTAGGATTGAAATTAAAATTTAGCAGCACCGTTCAATGTTGATAAGAATTGGTAAATTAAAGTGCCGAGCTAGGATAACAGCATCATTCAAATCGTTGATAAAAATTAATTATAGCATATAATTATAATACAATGACCACCGATGAACTAGTCCTTCCGGAGGTGGAACAGTGGGCGCGATGGTAGGCGTCACATGGATGGCAGAGATTCGACACACGTTGCACACAGGATGGTAGCGCCCCAAGGCAGAGGAATCGTCGGTCAACACAGTTAGTCCAGTTAGTCCATATAACGTACAACACACAATGACTTAGATTGCCTAACCTTCCTGCCCAAAGTTTGCCACATATTGGGTTCCCCCCATCAATACATTTCAGATCCATGGGAGATGTTTGATGTGTCTATGCTGTAGAATTAATGCACTTTGACACCACTTTATTTGTGTTGGCTCAGTGCCATGGAATCATGGATATTCATGTTTTACAAGGTCTTTAGCCTTTTCTGGCAGAGTACTGGGCAGGGGCAGCTCAACCCATTACGCAAAGTAAGCATTCGCAGTATAGTTGATTTTGCCAGGGGCGCTCTTGAAGTGCTCTTGGGGGAAAATAGACCTTGACATATGCGAGTTGTAGTTACTGGGATGTATGGTTCACCTAAAATCAAAGAACATTCTGAACTCCACCAATGATGGAATTGAACCAAATATGGCACACAGAACTCCCATGACAAACAGAAAATATATATCAATTATTGGTTGGGGGGGGGGGGTGCCAAAATACTGTTTGCTTACCATTGAAAATTACCTAGTTCCGCCTCTGGTACTGGTGCCTCACAAACTACAACTTCCTGGCCAGTATAGCCAATGATAAGGAGTGCTAGGTTAACGTCACTTGGAGAGACATACAGATCTCAGCTTGTACCTAAGGACATGGTGTATATGGTTTAGAAGCAATGACTGTGGGGGCAGTTAAAAATATAATATTAATCTATATAAATAAAAATGTAATGTTTGTTTGTAGGATTAACAGAACTCAAAAACCACTGGGGGAATTGACACCAAATTTGGACACGACACAAGTAACAACCCAATGTATGTCCTTCACTCAAAAAAACCAACGAAAAAAAAGCAGAAAGGACTTCTAAACTGCATGTCCACAAAGGAGAAACTGCATGCCCACAGAGACCCATGGCCATGCCCCCCCTCCTCGCGAGGCAACAACCGGCTGTTAAAGCATTAGGACCCAGGCGCGCGTGCACGGCCACATACACACACACACACAAGCGAGAGTGGGCATCATGGGAGTGGAGGTGGAGGCTTGCTGCATGGAGCCCCTTCTCTTTCCCTGCTATGTCAGGAGGGCGGTCTCCTCCTCCTTTACCTGTTGGAAGAGAAAGGGGCAGATGAGTGGCAGAGGCAGCAGCGTAGCCCCCAGGCAAGGAAGTGGGGGAGGAGGAGGAGGAGGCGAGGAAGGTAGAAGGTGCTTGAGTGAAGGACCTTCCTTCTCTCCCTCACTCCCTTCCCTTCTTTCCTCCCTTTCCTTCCTCCCTTCCTTTCTTTCCTTTTCTTTCCTTCTCCTTCCTTTCCTTCTTTCCCTCCTTCCCTTCCTTCCTGTCCCTCCTTCCTTCTTCCTTTCCTTCTTTTCCTCCCTCCCTCCCTTTCCTTCTTTCCCTTTCTTCATTTCCTTCCCTCCCTCCTTTCTTCATCCCCTCCTTCCTATCCCACCTTCCTTCCTTCTTCCTTCCTTCCTGTCCCTCCTTCTTTCTTTTCCTTCCTTCCCTTCTTTCCCTCCTTCCCTCCCTCCTTTCCTTTTTCCTTCCTTCCAGTCCCTCCTCCCTTCCTTCTTCCTTTCCTTCTTTCTATGTAAGATATAAATATTACATAGAAGGAACAGTCAAGAAGTAATGAGAGAAGGAGGGAAAGAGGGAAGGAAGGAGGGAGGAGGGAGGGAAAGAAGGAAAGAAGGAAAGAAAGAGGTAGAGAAGCAAGGAAGGAGAGAAGGAAATAAAATGAAAGGAAAAAGAAAGGGAAGGAAGGGGAGGAACTAAAGATGGGGAAGGAAGGAAGGAGAGAGGAAGGAGAGAAGGAAGGATGCAAAAAGCAAAGAAAGGGAGGAAAGAAACAGGTAGAGATGGAAGAAAGAAGAGAAATAGGGAAAGCAAAAAAGGAAAGGAAGGAAAGAGGGAAGGAAGGAGAGAAAGAGAGAGGGAAGGTTGGCCACAGCAACGTGTGCCGGGTACAGCTAGTATTACAATATAATTTAGAATTAAGATATAAACATTTAAAAATACCTGATTTTTCCTGAAAGCGTTTCTCCCTGAAGATTTCAACAGAACAGAATGTATTGATTTCTCTGTTTGAACTGCTTGTATTTACAGAACACATAGGTCAGACTGGCCGGGCAAAGTAAACTTACAAACTTGAGAGATCGATTTATCGATTTAATTTTGTCAATATAACTTAGAACATCTAAGTTCATACAGTGAGAGAACGCCATCTTCTGACCACTTCATGTAAATAACAGGCATTTTCTGCTTTTTTGGAAAAGCATTTTTAGTTATTTTCTTTCTTACTTTCATATTGAGAAAGTAAGTTATGACGAAGTTTTAAAGCTAAATTGCTACAGGAAATCAGCCTAATACTTGTTTCTGTGTTGATATTCAAAGAGATGGTTTTAAAAAGACAATAGAAAAGAATAAAAAAGTTCAATCTATATAAATAAAAATGTAATGTTCGTTTGTGGGATTAACAGAACTCAAAAACCAATGGGCCAATTGACATCAAATTTGGACAGCATACACCTAACAACCCAATGTATGTTCTTCACTCAAAATTTTTTGATTTTGTCATTTGGGAGTTGTACTTGCTGGGATTTATAGTTCACCTACAATCAAAGAGCATTCTGAACTCCACCAATTAAGCTATTGAACCAAACGTGGCACACAGGACT